GCTGCCCTCTAGTGGTTAAATCGTGTAATGTTTATTACTCATTAAATTATTTAACACTGCTGCCCTCCAGTGGTTAAATCATATAATGTTTATGATTCATTCAATGATGTAACACTGATGTAACACTGCTCCGGTCTGTCTTTGTTCATCCTGCATCGCTCTGTTCTGTTCTTTAATGTAACGTTACTGGAGCGACGGAGCCTCTCCCAGCTGTTAGCAGACTGTTAGAAAGCAGGCTCGCGAGCGAGCTGTACCCAGCATGCAGTTCGGCGGTGAAATTTTATAAATGTACAATTATTAGTGTTACAAAATGTTTATGTGTCACCGACTGTTGTGTGCTGTTGTGTTTTTCTGTTAAAGAGCATTAGTTGTGGGTTGTTAATTGTTGTTATAAAGTTATGACCATGACTAGGGTTCCCTCTCAATACATATAAGACAACTAGCGCTGACCGATGTGCATTAGCAGAAAAAAAGAATACTTTTAACTGCTTGTTGAAAGCAGACAGCAGTTGTTATGGCTACACACCGGTATAATGGTGTGTGAAGAACTCATATCATACGGGAAATTAAAACCGGTATACTGCCCAGCTCGAGTCTTTATTATAGTTTGGACAATTTTGTACCAATATTTGACGGGCCGGATTGAAAAGCCCAACGGCCGTTTGCCCATGCCTGGGCTAGCGGCTAGCTGAGTGTCTTCTTCTGCTTATTGTAGCTTGTTAAACTGACTAACGCATTACCGCCACCAGGTGGTGGGAAGCTATATTGTAACTGACCGTCTCATGGAGAACAGTAATATCTCTGGTGTCTTCAATTGATAACCTATGCGGTCCCGCGGCCCTCGCGGCCCACAGGTGCAAAACTGAAAGTTTTTTGCGGCCCCATCGTGGGCCGCAGCCCCATGGTTAAGAATCACTGCCTTAAACCATGCGGCCGAGCCGACAGGTGGTGAGTAAAACTAGTAATATCCATGTGGAAGTAAACATCCCAATCCCAAACTCTGCTCCAAAGGGGGTCCCTGCAACAACGAGACTTCTAGTCTAAAGTGCTAAAAATAAAAGATGTGAGAAAATGTCACCAAAGTAATCAATATGTCAACAGGAATATGTTTGTTAAAAAATATGCCAAACAGAAAAACTGAATTATGATAAACAACATCCTGCTAGCAGTGGTGGAAGAAATATTCAGATATTTTACCTATAAGTATAATTAGAAATACCAGTGTCTAATGAATCCACTACTATTAAAAGTCCCTAAATTCTAAACGTTACTCAAGTAAAAGTACATAAGTATTATCAGCAAAATGTACTTAAAAGTATCACATTAATTAATGAGCAAAATGGCTCCTTTCACAATGTTATATATTTTTTGAATAATATATTGTTTTCATCACTAACGAATACATGTAAGAGCATCATTTAGTTTGTCAATTCTACATGATTTCGATATTGTGTAGATAACTAGTATAGTAATGTTTCATATAGTATATTTTTAAATGTAAACAGTAACTATAAGCGTCAAACAAATGTAGTTGAGTAAAAAGTACAATAATTACCTCCGATATTTAGTAGGGTCGAAGTATTTCTTTTTTCGGTTTGTTTTTCTCAAAAGAATTAAATTAAACTTTAAACTGATTCTGTAAGTACCAGTAACTACCTGTAAGTGTACTTTTCAGAGGACCATACTGAATATGATTATATAAAGCCTGGATTTAAAACACTGTTGAGCCTCCACAGTAACAAAAACTATTGTAGACTGTGGACTAACATTATGAATAAAGTGTAATGACTATATTTATAGTTTGTGAACAAGGATTTGACCCTCTCGGTTTCATCATCAGTGCATCACACAACACTCAGAGCGGTCTTTATAAAAGTGAAGAGCATGATGTAAAAGGCACATTTGTGTACATTCAGACTTTGAGAAAAGGATATCAAAATCACATTGAACCATGAGGGTTGAGTAGTACAACACAATGTTCACCTGCTTCTACAACACCTGTGTTTTTGTCCATTTACTAGATTTTTAACCACATTGCATGGTACTACTATATTGCCTTTTAAAACCAATCTGCACTGACAATTGTTATGCCACACAATGCCTTTTTCAAGAGTATGTTTCTGCCATTTAGCTTTTAGTAGATAGTATACAGTAGAAACAGAGAAGTGACATGGATGGAAGAGAGAAGGTTTTGACATGCAACAAACCGGAGACGTTGTGGTTATATCATGGTATCTTTTTGGCAGTAAGGACAAATGTATATAGTTGTTCATTTAATGGGCTTATGCACAGCGACTGATATACGTTCCCTCAAAAAAATATTACAACAACATGTCGGGGCAGCGGCTACGTAAACACCATGTGGATACTGCAAGAATGTAAAATGTTAAACGAGTTGAAGAAAGGAGCGGTAATCTTTTCCTTTTCAGGAACAGGTCTGTAAAACTTAGGCTCGCAACAATCCTCGTTCTCTATACCAGTAAAGGTAGAATGTAAACATACATTTTTGGCTTAGAATTGAACATCGAGTGTTGTGATGGTGCTATCAGTGGGTGAAATCAGACATTGACCGATGCAGAGGCACATGCAATAAGACTGTCATACTTCATGATGAGCAAGTAAAACTCCACCTTTATGGTAAAGTTAAAACTTGAGCATGGGGATCTGTGGAGTGTAGTCAGTCAGAAGAGACACCATCAGACCCTGAAAGAGAAGACAGTTGTGACGATCAGTAGATGGAGAATCAAACCGGAGGCAAAGACTATTCTGACAGGAACATTTTAACCCATACTAGTATTAAACTGTGCATTAAATAATAATCAGATTAATCACCATGATTGTCCACTTTCTATTCTCTGCCTCGGAGAAGACGAGGGAGCGGGATGAGTAGAACACCTGGTCATCCACCTCCTCCATTTTGCGGGGCAGACAATGCAGGAAGGTCCAGTCTGGTTTGGCAACACTTCCTGTCTGCAGCGGACCAGAACCAAGACCCATTTCAACTCAGTGAAATCAAATAACATTAGATTTGAGCTCCTTTGCAAAGTATTTACTTGCCAGACATAAAGACATATTCTTGTTGACCAAAATAATTATAATAAGGTTCAAAACCTTTTTTCAGAAAATCCTATCAATTATATCATCATGCTCAGTGCAAAACTTTTCTTTAAAGCTTGCTTGCGAATTGTAAGATAAAGTCTGTAATTACTGTTAGATTATTTTACAATACAAACAATTTGCAGAATATTAAAATCTACTGCTGTGTGTAAAGGCAGTAAGAAAGGAGCATGTTTAAGACTGATTTGCTTACTGTCAACAAGTGTGTCCAGCTGTCAAAAGAGACCAATTTGTGAAAACAACTGACCAAAGACAAGTGCTAACGTCTCCAAAAAGCTACTGCTGTGTTTTGTGGGTGACACCATTTTGATTTTTAAGCAAGAAAAAGCATCTGAGACAGTAGGAAAGAGAGTAAATGTAAAAAAGAAAAACACAACAAAACATATCAAATGCCAAATCAAAAATATACACCGTCCAAAATATGAACAGGTAAAAAGAAAATGTTCTTAGTTACCTGCATTGTAATCTGGTAACCTTTAAAGTCTTTCATCCTCTTTTTCTTCTCCTCCTCCTGTCCCATGCTCACCCAGGTGTCAGTGACCAAAACATTGCTGCCGTGGGCGGCCTCCATCGGGTCAGAGGTCAGAACAAGCTGGGTCCCATGCTGAGACACAATGCGATGTTATGAATGAATAAGAAGTCCTTTGACAAGAGGTCCTGTTTAAAATAATGACACCTGAAGAACACCTCACTTCTTTGGAGAGTCTCTGTGCCTCTTGAATAACACTCCTTTCTGGCTCATACCCCTGTGAATTAAAATACAGCTTTAGCTTTGTACATTGCAAAGAGGTAGAGGTAGTGCGCTAAAAGAGAGGCCAAATGTGCATGACAACATAAAACGAGGCAAACCTTTGGTGTAGCAATCTTAAGATGAACTCCCAATTTAGCTGCAGTCATCATGAAGGAGTGGAGGACGTTGTTCCCATCTCCAATCCAGCTCACTGTTAGTCCATTAAGGGACCCGTAATGCTCCTGAGGGAGAGTGGTAATTAAGAAAACACTGTGTCATTATCATTTACTGGATGAAAACTGCAGTGCGCGTAGGAGTCGCAGTACCTGTAAGGTGAGGAAGTCAGCCAGAATCTGGATTGGGTGGTAGAGGTCCGACAGGCCGTTAATGATGGGGATGGTGGCCTCTTTATCCAGCTCCTCCAGCGTGGAGTGGCTGTACACTCGTGCCAAGACAATATCGCAGAGCCCTGAGAGAACCCTGGAGAAGGAGTTTAGAGATTCCAGATGCGCACATGTCAGTGTCATCAATTCCAGTTTATTTCCATAAGTGAAAGCATAAATATAAAACTCACCTGGCTGTGTCCGTGCTACTCTCATTCACTCCAAGGTGGATGTCCTGAGAAGTGAGGAAACAGGGGTGCCCACCCAGCAGAGCAAAACCTGGAATTATGACAACTTCAATTTCCCTAATGGCCAGCTGGTGCATAAAAACAACAAACACAACCTGGTGTGAGCGTTGAAGGGGAGCAGTGCAGGGAAAGAGAGGAGTGGACTGTAGACCGCTTTGTCCCTGGGATGGACTGAAAGTCGCCTTTCAGCAGTTCTTTTGTGTCCATATTGACAATAACCTTCACATCGCTGAACACACAGTATCAGCCCTGCTAACAGTGTGAGATGTTACATTTCTATTAGATTGTTGTCATTCATATTTAATGTTTTCTTTTACAAATAGTTAGGATTATTAGTAATATGTCATTATCACTATTCTACACATATATATATATATATATATATATATACATATACACACATATATACATATACACACATATATATACACACACATATATACATATACACACACACATATATATATATATATACGTATATACATGTATACGTATATATGTATACATATATACACATACATATACATATATATATATATACGTATATATGTATACATATATATACATATATATATATATACGTATATATGTATACATATATACACATACATATATATATATATATATATGCGCATGTATATATATGTATACATGTATATATGTATACATATATACGTATACATGTATACATGTATACATATACATGTATACATGTATGTGTATATATACGTATACATGTATACATGTATGTGTATATATACGTATACATGTATACATGTATACATATACATGTATACATGTATGTGTATATATACGTATACATGTATACAT